AGGCACTAATCACAACCTGTGGATGTATTTTTGGAGGATTCTCTAGTCCCCTTCAAACCTCCAAACGCTACGCATTTAAATTGTACAAGTTGTTACTCCAGTCAATTGACTCAGCAAATTATGAACCCAATGTAATGGCTAGATGGATGTAATTCATTAAAAAAACGTCTTCATTAAGTTTCGTTAAATTTGCACAAATGAGCTTGTAATGATGGGTCTAAAAATGCCCACCGAACCTGGGAGTCATAGATGAAGAACAGTCCGATAGCATGGAGGAAACTTGATTGTGAAAAGGTACTATCAATAAACAGATGGAGACCGAATAGTGTCCAGTGACTGAGCCAAGGTGGTAAACCTTCTAAGTCGTCTATCGGAGGGTATCCAGGGATCACTCTCAGGCATTAATTTGAACCGATATTGAATGGCAGCTGCTATACCGCCGTCATAATAATGAACAAATTTTAATTTGCGCATTCATGTGTCTAACAGTGGATGTAAGACTTTTTGGACTCTTATCTTCCTTAGCTTCTTAAAAAGTAGTTAAAACTGGATTTTTTGTTGATAGGCCAACCAACAAATAATGAAAAATAGTGCATTTTAAACAAAATGTTTGTTTTTAACCAATAACAAACGAGTTTGTTCATCTTCCCAACGCGTCGCTAAGTCCTCCTAGGTGGCCGAGATCAAGAAATTTAAAACTTAAATTTAAGGGGGAGAATGGGTCTATTGTCCTCCAACACCGAAGTTGTAAATCTCGTAGAATGCGCCTTTCTGTTGCAGAAGTGTTTGTGGGGACCCTGACTCCACTCGTCGACCGCCCATAAGGACGACTATCTCATCACAGTTCATCACGGTGGTGAGTCGATGAGCAACAACGAGACTTGTGCGGCCACCGTTGGGCTCGCGCATTGCTTCATCTAAAGTCCGTTGAACGATTCTTTCGCTGTCAACGTCCAGCGCTGAGGTCGCCTCGTCCAACAATAAGATCTTTGGTTTTCGCAGTAGTGCTCGCGCAATAGCCACACGCTGCTTTTGTCCGCCAGATAGTTGTGAACCCCCAGCGCCCACGTTGGTATCGTATCCCTTAGAAGATAGTGTTATTGAAAGCGTTAGAATGGTTACAGACAACCTACTCCTAGCGCATAGAGAAAAGGCAGCACCATTAACACGGCAGCAGAGTGTACTGCAATTACAACTTTTGGCACGTAAAGAAACACATTTTTTGCACTATGTTTAAACAACATCTTTGATTCGACAGAATTATTCAAAAATACCCCATCCTTGTGAACTCCGAATGAAGCAAAGCAAAAGCAAATTAGTAATATAATATGCGTGGAAAACAGTAATAAAAAGATGTTAACGAACCTCAGGTAATCCTGAAATAAAGTCATGAATGTTGGCTTGTTTTGCAGCCTCTATTATTTGTTCCATGGTCGGTTCGCCTTTTAGGAAACCGTAGGCAATGTTCTCACGAATAGTAAGGTTGAAGAGATTGGGTTCCTGCGAGACAATGCCAATTTGTTCCCGTATCCAGGCCGGTGCAAGGCTGCGCAAGTCCCGACCATCTAGAAAGATTCCGCTCTCTGGTCCTCGGTCGTCCACGTCGTAGAAACGCTGGACCAACTGAAGTAGAGTCGACTTGCCACATCCAGAGGGTCCGACCATGGCTACCGAGGTGCCCGGCTTCACGGTGTGAGAGAAGTTCTGTTAGGCGAAGTGACAGCCGAACGGAGTTAGTATACTTCCATCAAAGCCTCCATGATAGTTGAACAAATGCTATCACTTGACTGAAAGCCAATCTCACAGAGTTCATATTAATTAATTTGTTAGCGCTCCTATGGGCATTGAGTGTGAATGTGGCAGCCAAAAAACTGCATCAACAGTAGATAAGTAAATTAAGCAGTTTTGCGAAACTTCTCCGACTCAACGGATGATGGTACAATTTTTCACCCACAAAATTCTACACTTTCTCAACAATGATGACCTCTGTTGTCTACAAATAAGTGAAGTGTAAGACTAAGGTTAAATATTATGCACCTACATCACCGCACAAAGAGACAAATTTAAAGTTGAAAAAATGTTAGCACAAAGCA